ACTCAGGAGGCTGAGGCAGGAGAATGGCGTGAATCCGGGAGGTGGAACTTGCAGTGAGCCAAGATTGTGCCACTGCACTCCAGCCTGGGCGACAGAGTGAGATTCCATCTCAAAAAAATAAAAAATAAAAATAAATTAAAACAATTAAAAATGGGACCAGACCGTATGCGGCCTCCTGGCTCTTTCACTCAGTGTAATGTCCTCGGAGCTGAGGCATCACTCTGCAGTGTGCCTCAGGAAGAGATTTTAACGGCATCACGCCTGGATTTCCCTGCTCAGCTGACACGTCGTGAGCCAGGCACGCAGTGCCCCAGGGAGACCCACGTTCTGCGACTCAGGGTCCTGCAGGATCCTGGAATGCAGGGAGGCTCGGGTCCGTGCACGCCTAAGGCAGGAGGCCTGGCCTGGCCACGCGGGCGTGGGTCCCTCATCCCTCTGAGCCTCTGTCTCCTCATGGTGACTCAGGGGACCCTGCAGCTGGCTTGCAGCATATCCTGAGAAACAGTAGAGCTCTGTCTGCAGTGAGGAGAGGACAGAGAGCTTTCTGGGCTCCCAGCCCTGCACCTGTGCGGCAGGTGGCACAGCTCTGCGGTCTACGGGGGTCTTTAAAGGGGCATGCACACAAGACCATCCGCATACCGGGGCCAATTGGCTTAAAGGAATCCATGTGTGGGTCTTCAGCTTCCAGACTGTTCTGCAAACACAGCCTGGGGTCAGCTGTATGCTGCTCCCACCTGCTTTTCCCCCACTTCAGGGATTGCCTCTCTCCAGCCTGAGCCTGATGACAGGGCTTCGACCCACCAGTGAAATCCCAGGGCAGGCCCCACGCCCTGCCTGCCTCCTGTTTGGAAGCCACAGACCCAAAGGTGTAAAAAGGCACAATGACTTCCAGCCCTCCTGGTGTCAGCCAGGCTGCCAAGGGCCCAGTGGCTTCTTTTGACTTTTAATTTACTGCTGATGAGGCTTCAGTGAGGGTTAGGGTGCAGGAAACTGAAAAGTCACAAGCTACTTTTTGTTCTGAAGAAAGACTGCCCTTCACTAATTCTCATTCATCGAGTTTCGTGTGGCTTTCCTTCTTCACGGGGTCCTTAATGTCCCTTGTCCCCCTCTGAATCACCTGGGCTGTGCGGCTGCCTCTCTTGTCGAGGAGTAACACACCTTTGACACATGCTTACTGTATGTGTGTGTAAGAACTATGCTTTTACCTTTTGAAAAATATACCTTGACCTTTCCTTCCTGCTTCTTTACTTTTCTATCTTCCCATCCATCTATCCACTCACCCACCCACTCATCCATCCACCCACTCATCCATCCACCTACTCATCCATCCACCTACTCATCCATCCATCCACCCACCCATCCACCATCTATCCATCCACCCACGCACCGTCTATCCATCTGTCCATCCATCCATCCACTCATCATCCACTCACCATCTATCCACTCATCCAACCACCCATCATCCACCCACCCATCTATCCATCCACCCACTCATCCATCCATCCACCCACCCATCCACCATCTATCCATCCACCTACCCACCATCTATCCATCTGTCCATCCATCCATCCACTCATCCATCTATCTACTCATCATCCACTCACCATCTATCCACTCATCCATCCACCCATCCATCCACCTACCCGTCTATCCATCCACCCACTCATCCATCCATCCACCTACCCATCCATCATCTATCTATCCATTCACCCATCTATTCATCCATCTATCCGTCCACCCACCCATCCATCCACTCACCCACCCACCATCTATCCATCTGTCCATCCATCCATCCATCCACCCACCATCTGTCCACTCATCCATCCACCCATCCATCCATCCACCCATCTATCCATCTGTCTATCCATCCATCCATCCACCCATCCATCCACCCACCCACTATCTATCCATCTGTGCATCCATCCATCCACTCATCCATCCACCCACTCATCCATCCACCTACCCATCCATCCACCCACTCATCCATCCACCTACTCATCCATCCACCTACTCATCCATCCATCCACTCACCCACCCCTCTATCCATCCACCCACTCATCCATCCACCTACTCATCCATCCACCTACTCATCCATCCATCCACCCACCCATCTACCATCTATCCATCCACCCACCCACCATCTATCCATCTGTCCATCCATCTATCCACTCATCCATCTATCCACTGATCATCCACTCACCATCTATCCACTCATCCATCCACCCATCCATCCACCCATCCATCTATCCATCCACCCATCCACCTATCCATCCATCCACCTCCCCATCCATCATCTATGTATCCATTCACCCATCTATTCATCCATCTATCCATCCACCCACTCATCCATCCATCCACCTCCCCATCCATCATCTATCTATCCATTCACCCATCTATTCATCCATCTATCCATCCACCCACCCATCCATCCACTCACCCACCCACCATCTATCCATCTGTCCATCCATCCATCCACCCACCATCTGTCCACTCATCCATCCACCCATCCATCCATCCACCCATCTATTCATCCATCTATCCATCCACCCACCCATCCATCCACTCACCCACCCACCATCTATCCATCTGTCCATCCATCCATCCACCCACCATCTGTCCACTCATCCATCCACCCATCCATCCATCCACCCATCTATCCATCCACCCATCCATCCATCCACCCATCCATCCGTCCATCCATCCATCCATCCGTCCATCCATCCATCCATCCACCCATCCATCCACCCACCCACCATCTATTTATCTATCCATCCATCCATCCATCCATCCATCCACCCACCATCTATCCACTCATCTATCTATCCATCTAACCATCCATCCATCCACCCACCCATCCACCCATCTCTCCATCCACCCACCCATCTATTTATCATCCATCCATCCACCCACCCACCCACCCACCCATCTATCCATTCATCCAACTACCCCACCCATCTATCCATCTGTCCATCTGTCCATCCATCCATCCATCCATATCACAATTAGAATTCAAAGTGAGGCATTTGGGTCATTTAATAACATGCTTATTTGAATTAATATCTGACAAACATCAGTCTGGGCAGATTGTTTTTCAGTGAGGACCAGTTCTGCCATTTGTTTTTAAGGCAGCATTTCTATAAATCAAGTGAGCTAAATCTGCAGATTTTCATAAGACTAGATGCCAAACACTGGTAACATATAAAGTATGCTAGAAAATACAATTTTTTTGACTGTTTAAACAACGTTTAGAGGCTGCAAATTGACCCATGGGGCACCATTGCCAAGGATCCTGTGTCCAGCCATTGGTTTAGAAGGATACTTGGTGTGCAGTGCCAGCCAAAGGCCCTGAATCCTGCTTCTGCAACCCAGGGGGCTGGAAAGTTTGCAGAACGGATGTGTGCCGTGGTCAACACACACCTCACATAATTTATGCACCTGTTTTTCTGTGACCTAGTGGTGAGGTTGTGAGGTGCAGCTGTCACCTTATTTATTTTAACAACGTCTTGTCCACAGATACCTGTCGTGTTTGAAAACCTCTCTAGTGGCTACTGGGCCACCATTATCTGCCAAAAATGGAGCAGCACAAGGTCTGTGTGTGATCAAGCTGGGGGAGGCTGCTTTCTAAGCGATTTCATCTTAAAGGGGAACTTGGCTTGTCAAAAAATAAGTTTTAGGGAGCTTGCAAACAAAAGCGTTAAAAGCCCACAGAACCGCCGGCTTTGAGAATTGGGCCTGGTGCTTGGCATCCGACAGGTCCTCTCCACTGTGCCCGGTTCTTCCTCTGTGGGCTGATGTTAGGGGAGGGGACGGGGTCCCATTCGGCAGCAGGAACAGAGAGACTCCACAGAGCATGGGAGGATACAGAGCTTCCCCTGGGCCACTCCTTGGCCAGGGAAAGCAGCCCGCACCTCCTCTTCTACCTGCAAAGTGGGGCCCCGCAGGACGGAGCGGGGTTTCCTGGTCTGTCTGGGTCGCTCTGCTCTGAGGGTCACTCTGCTCACTGGCCTGCACAGTCCCAGGACTTTCCCCCACCCGAGTCACAGCACGGCCACATTAGGCTGTCTCCAGGGACAGACTCCAGAGCGGCCGGCTAACAAGCCCACCAGTCTGCCCTGGTCCTTGGCAGGAGTGAGGCCTATGCCAGGGGTGGGGGTGGCAGCCCCTGTGAGTGCCCACAGAGGAGAACAGAGTGGGGGATCGTGAGTCCACAGACCTCCCGGCCCCTCTCCCACTTGAGCAGCATGGCTGGGTTTCCTCCCATGTCACACCCTCATCCCACCTGGGGTGACCGCCGAACCCGTGTCCAGAAGAGGACGAGGCCCGATCAACCTCTGGCCTCCCAGGAACTCAGTAGTGGAAGCAAAGTATAAGCACCCAGTGCCAGGCCTTAGCCGGCGCCCAGCCTCCCAGCCTCCCTTGGAGGCCAGCCCCAGTTTCCACGAACAAGGAACTCCTCCAGGGGCAACGGACACTCTTGGCCTCCAGAACCACTGCCTGCCACCACCAACACCCGCGCGGGACAGAGGCCTTTCTGAACACGAGCTGGGTGGGTTGGGGGGGTGGTCTCCAGTGACTCCCGTACGCTGGCCCTGCCTGGCTTGCAGGGCCATCCAGACAAAAGTCCGACGCGGCACGCGCACTGCTGCCCCTCAGAGACCAGGCCCTCATTCCCCCCAGGAAGCCGGGATAGGGCCCACACCCACCCTGGACTCCGGCAGCCCAGGATGAGAACTTCCTATCACACTCCTGTCCCCGTGGCCAGTGTCTTGTGTTTGCTTTGGAGAAGCCACGTGGGCTCCAGGGGACGAGGGAAAGGATCCTTGATTGAAGCGTTGTTTGTAGTGAGGGAAATTGACGTACTCAACCTCTCTCCATAGGGAAGCCGAGAACAGCACGCTGGTGTGTGCCTCCCCCGACCAAACCCTGAGGTGCCACTCGGCCCCAACATGAGGCAGCGCCACGCTCAATGCAGTCAGCCTCGCAGGTGTCCAGAGAGAAAATTGCAAAGGAAAAGGAGAATTTGGTGCCTTTTCTGTAACTGGGCGAGACACACTGTACCTGGGAGTGACGTGGACGGGGCAGGACGCCTTGGGACGGCTTTCCACGCCCTAAGTGCTGCCATGAGTCCACCTGTTCAGTTTTCACGGATGTGCCGGAGACGGGGGCTGCTATTGCGCCATTTACAGATGAGGAGGCCGTGGCGGGGTGTGGGGTGGCTGAGTATCTGAGCTAGGTCCCCCCAACCCCTTGATCCCATCTCACCGCACCCAGGTGGGGTGGCCTTCGGGGCTGGGGACACTGAACCTACAGGAATTCCTTTCTACAAAGAAGAGGGAAGGAAGGAGCAGGCTGGGGATGGGGACGGCGTGCTGCCTGCGCGGCTCCTGCGACCTCTGCAGGGGTTTAAAGATCAGCCACAGAGCACAGGGGTGAGGGTCAGGCACACACTGCTTGGGGGCTTGTTGCGGCTTAGCCCTCACACTGTCCCTTCCCGTCCAGGGCCCCGGAGCAACACGTCCAGCGGGGGTCGGCGTGAGAGCGGTGTGGAGACACCCACCCTCCCTTGCAGCCAGAGGTAAGAAGTGGGAGGGAAAGAGGAGAGGCCGCTCGGTGATCTCTGGAATGTTACCATTTTCACACGTATTCAGTTTGCAAATTATTAAGGCACACTGCATCCTTCTTTCTGCACTGTGACTGAAATGACTGAAATGCTGTATGTTCGACGGGTCCTGTGACGGAGTTGGGACCATGTGACCACAGGGCTCTGAGGACCACCCCACACCGCCCGCCATGCCTGGGGCCCACCTGGAGGAAACAGGCCCGGAGAGGCACACCCTGGTGAGAGGCCGAGTCGGGGTGGACCACAGGGGCTCTGGCCGCAGGCCTGCCCGTCCCAGCTGTCTCTGGCCCTGGGGAGGGGCTCAGCAGGGAGGGGCGGGAAGCACCTGGCAGTTTCGGTTTCGCCAGGAAGCGGCCGCCTGCTGTCTCCCTTCCCACCCGCCACCCGGAGAGCCCCCCAGGTGGGGACGGTCCCTTGCACTGCAGACGAGGAAGCCCCAGCTGAGGGGCCACAGGACAAGCCTCACGGCTTTTGGCAGCGGGGACAGAGCCAGGCCCAGCCTCAGCTGTGTCTCAGGAGGACCTGGGGTGGGAGAAGCCCCTGGGGACCGAGAGCAGTCGAGGGCAGATCTGACTGGCATCTTCTGTCACCTGCTGGTGACCTTTTAGAACACGTGGTCCCAACCCTTGGTCTAGAACATGCTGCCGTGTCGGAGGGGCAGAAGCAGCTGAGACAGCTATACGTCCCCCACCTGTCGCTCCGTCTGTCTGGGGCTGGGGATGTCAGGACAACACCCGCCACTGCAGGCGCCCTTGGAAATGAGTGGCAAGAAGCTTCAGGGTCCAGTTTGCACCGAGCCCCTCCAGCGGGGATGCCTCTTTCATCTCCGCACTTTGCGCCTGACATGGAGGGGTGTGTGGTCAGCGGGTGGGGGCTGACCGGGTACTTGCAGTGACAGGGTGGCAGGGCCCCGGACGTGTCATGTGACCCCTGTGGGCCACAACCCCTCTGAGCGCCACGGTCTGCAGTGCTGCAGGCCTCACACAGATTGGGGGCCGGAGCCCGAGATCTGTTCTCTAAATCTGGGAGCCCAGCCTGAGCAAGCCCTCAGCAGCCGCAGCCCCAGCGTGGGGCCTGGGTTCCCTGTTTTCAGGAATCCCCCCTCCTCTCATGAGCAGTCAGCTGGGTCAGGCTGGCTCCACCGGCTCTGGGATTCAGCTACAGCCTGGCCTGGATGCAGCCGGAGTCGCTGCCATCTGGAGTGAGGGGCTGCAGCGGGCACGGCTGGAGGGAGAGCTGCAAGGTCCCCTCCCCCACTCTGTCCCCTTCAGGTCCGTGAAGTCGGGGCTTTCCAGACACTCAAAATGCACCTGGACTCGGGAGCGCAGGAGGAAGCTCCGGGAGCCCGCAGGGTGGGGCGAATTCTCCAGTTCCTTCTCTACGGGGCTCCCTCCTGGCCGGTGCCTCCTGGCCTTGGCAGGGGTGGGAGGCCTGGTGTCTGCAGGGCCAGCTGCAAGGGTCACAAAAGCGGGGCCTCTTGGGAGGCAGCAGCAGGAATAGGGTCTTTCCTCACCAAATCCCACCCCAGCCTCGAGGAGGGGCTCGCTGCCACCCCGTTTTACAAATAGGAGACAGGCTGGGGTCGGCATGGCCAGTGGACAGCGGTTTCCATTCCCGCCATGGTCGGGTCCAACCACTGCCCCTCACAGACCAGGGAGCTGAGGGAGAGGGGGACGGGGCCGGCCCAAAGTCGCACAGACCTCAGCACCGCCTGTGGGGCTCCATTTTGCAGGCTCAGGGCAGCAGGCCAGGCTTCAATGCCGGGGTGTGAGGGGCAGGTGCTGGGGCTCCTGGTGGGCCCTGCTAGAGGGCACCATGAACCCGGTCCAGTTAGGGCGAGCATGGCCTGCGGGGCTGCAATTTGGCAAAGCCCCCGACCTTCTGCAAAGCTGTGGGTTCACCCCATCCCCTTCTGCAGGGGCCTCCCTGAGTGAGCCCCAGTGGCTGTGGCTGTTGGCAGCTTCTGCCAGCTCTTCTCAGGAGGGCATGCCTTCTGGCCCCACTCCTCCGAGGGATAAAGCCACACTTGGGGCCCTCACCCCAGGAGCCCTTGTCTCCACAAAGGGGGTGCCTGGAAAAGCTGACGGAAATTCACGTCAGTGGGGGACAGGCCTGGGGGAGGGGTTGGCCCACTCTCCAAAAGCTGCCAGTAAAACAGCTGCTCTGCAGCTGCCCTGGGCCGAGACAGGATTTCACTGCAGGAGGTGGCGGGGGCGGCCCCAAGCCGGCAGCCTTGCTGTGTGATCAGTTGGGTGTCAGGACGTGCTTGATCCAGGGGTCAGCAACACGGTGTCAGGCAGCACCTGCGTGGGGCTTCCTCGAGTGAAGCAAGGTGATGGAGAGGGGGGTTCTGAGGGGCTCAGCTGAGGGCGTGGCTCTTGTCTCAGAGCAGGGCGTGCCGTGGGGTTCCTCTCCTGACATGTGACCTCAGCTGCTCTCCTCTGCGAGGGTCCTTGGCAGGATGCACAGCCTGGGAGGACGTGGCCCACCCTCGCCCTGCTGTGTGAGCTAGGCTGATTTCTTGACCTTTCTGATTTGTGTCCTCATCTGAGGTCAGCGATGCCCTTGAAGTGTTGCCGGGTGAAATCCGGGAACGGGATTGCGTATCCGTCTGCCCCTCCCCTCTGGGGTCACAGAGCCTGAGTTCCTGGGAAAACTGTGGAGCCCGGCCCTGCGTCCTGGCTGCTGTCCGGGCTGCTGTGGAGCTGCCTCCTGGCCTGCAGGTCCTCACCTGCTTTGTTGACTGACTGCACTCTGTCCTTGCTGCCCGATCCTCCAACCAGGTCTGGAAGAATCGCAGGCTCTCCGAGATCCAAGCAGAGTGGGCCCCGCTCTGTGTCCGGGACACCGGCTCGGGAAGGGGGCCTCAGTCTGTCCCCATGCACCCCCAATACTGTGTCCGAGACAGAGACCTGTGCTGTCTGAGGGGACGCCGTACCCTGTCTGCCGTCAGGGACAGCTCAGCCCCAGCAATACCTCCCGCCTTGGAGTAGCCCTGAGCAGTGTCTGCACCTGGGGAGGGGCTCAGCACAGTCCTCTCTGATGCCAACCCAGGCAGGCAAGCAGGACCCCAGGCCTCACTCAGCCATGTGGTAGGGCACAGTGGCAGGGGCCCCAGGATAGGGGCAGGAGAGGAGGGGGCTATTTCTCTGCTCAGGGAGAAGGAGGCAGAGCCCTGGTGTCTCCTGTAGTTTCCAAGACAACGATCCCCCAGGCCAGAGCTCTCACCCCTCCTCCCATCAGCGTCCCACTCTGTTCTCTCCACCACGCTGCCTGGATCTCAGGCTGTCCTCTGACACAGACCTCTTGCCCGGATCACTTGCCACCACCTTAGGGGCAGAGACAAGAAGGGTATAGGGCCTCCCAGGGTCACGGGATGACTGACCTAGACCCAGTGCTGAGTGAGGTGCTCCCCTGATCAGGCCAGGCCAGATCCTGCAGTCTCGAGGCTTGGATGCCTGGCACCCTAACAGCCGCACGGGGCTCCCTGCTGCAGGCTCTGACCCCTCCAGGCCCATCCCCAGGCCTGACCCCAGGGCGCTAGACTGCTAGGCAGTCAGGACCCCAGACCCAATGGAGGGCCCATCTCTGGGCCTCGCCCTGCTCGCTGTGCAGCCCCGGGCCGGTCACCCCATCTCTGGGCCTTGGCTCCTGCTCAGACAGTGGCTGTGAAGGTGGCTCTGGAATCAGCGAGCAGCTCGGATATGCCAGTCCCTGCCTCGGCACCAGCAGGATGCGCACAGCCAAGTAACAACTCAAGGACCAGGAGCGCGGAGGCCGAGCCTCACCTGGAGATGGGATGGACTCACGCCTTCCTGGGCTGAGCACCCTCCTGGGCCAGCACCGTCTGCTGAGGGCCCTGCTGCAAGCAGGCACCACCAGAGCCCCTGCCTCGTGCAACCAGCTGGGGGCCGGGGGATGAGTAGTACCTGAGGGGGCGGCTGGTTTGTCTCATGGGGTGAGAGACTGAAGGAGAGGAACACCGAGAGAAGGAGGCCGAGGGCAGCGAGGCCTTGCTAAGATGACGCTGAGAGCAACCCCAGGCAGAAGCCCCGTGGGGAGGGGGCTTCTCGGCGAGGGCACAGCACAGGCACTGGCTTGGGAGGCTTGTGGAGCCGCCAGGCAGCCGGGGCTGTGAGTGCCGGAGGCGGACGCAGTGGGGTCGGGGCGGGCGGGCTGGGCCGTGGGTGTGCGCAGGTGTGACGTGGCTGACTTGTTTTAAATCAACTCAATTTTCCCTTTTTTTTTTGAGACGGAGTTTCCCTCTGTCGCCCAGGCTGGAGTGTAGGGTCGCAATCTTGGCTCACTGCAACCTCTGCCTCCTGGGTTCACGCGATTCTCCTACCTCAGCCTCCTGAGTAGCTGGGATTACAGGCACCCACCACCACACCCAGCTAATTTTTGTATATTTAGTAGACAGGGTTTTGCCATGTTGGCCAGGCTGGTCTCAAACTCCTGACCTCAAGTGATCCCCCCGCCTCGGCCTCCCAAAATACTGGGATGACAGGCGTGAGTCACTGCACCTGGCCTTGATTTTTCAAATGACATGGTGACACAACCACTCTCCGCCCACCTGAGAGCGCTGCCTGGGGCCTGGGGTGGGCAGAGCTGGGAGAGGAAGCCCCTCGGTGGGGTCCCCGCTGCAGACCTGTGTCCTGGCAACTGCCCGACAGGCCTCTGAGCAGCCGTCCTGGGGGTGGACTTGGGGGTTTAGTGCTGAGAACTTCATTGGCTCCTGCTACAGGTCGGCCTCTGGCTTTGTCACAGTCAATCTGAGTGATCCAGTCCACAGCTCCTGGCTGGAGTTCCTTCAAAGGCTGGGTGGGCGGCGCTCAGACAAGCCTCTCTTTTCCCTGTTTCTCCCCAGCTGCCCCTGGCTGACGTCTCCTCGGAGGAGCACTGGCCGGTGAGTCCTGGCTCAGCTGTGACCAATCGGCCTCTCCCTGGGGCCGCTCTTCCTGCCCACGCCTCCCTGGTCAACTGCAGTCACGGAAGTGAAAGTGCCGGAAAACCCCTGCGCAGCGCCCAGGCAGGTTAACGGGACGCACTGCTTCTCAGTCCACATGTGGTGAGAAGTGAAAGTCATCTTTGCCTAAAGAATGGCCTCCCAGAGCCGCCCCCATGGGGCCACTTCCTCCAGGAAGCTGGCCTGGATTGCACCCTGACCCTAGGCACCGTCCCTGTCTTCCTAGGTGCTGATTTGAGGTCTTCCTGCTGGACAGGAGGACGTGGCTGGTTGCTGTGCTTGTGTGTGGGGATGGGCTGGTATGGGGAAGGAGTGGAGCATTCCGGCAACCACTGAGGCCTCCGGGAAGCAGTGCCATGCTTACTGGGGAGAGAGGGAGGTGCACTGACCGGGCCCGGAGAACTGGCTGCACCTGGCAATGAGGACATACCCAGAGCCCCTGCTCCCTGCTCTGCCCCAGTGGAGTGTCCAGTGGGGAGGTAGTTGGGGGAGGTCGGGCTTTGTCCCACCATCCACTCTCCTGAGGACTTCCTACCTCTGTGGACGCCCCTTTCTCTATTCCTGGCTCATCCATTTCTCTTCACCCTCCGTCCCCAGAGCTCTGCAGTCTCCCGCCTCTGTCCGGCCTTCGCAAACCCTCCCTCATGGAGCTGTCCACGCACTGGCCACCCTATCCCCTCGCGGTGCTGCTGGCTTCCTGCCATGACTGACCCAGCAGTGGTTCCAGGGCGAGCTTCCCTCCGAGCCTGGGGCTGGACTCCACGGTCAGTGTGATTTCACGGCAGCGAGATCCTCACATCTCCAGCCCATCTGCCTCTGCCCCACAGGGTCAGTGAAGCCTGCTGTGTGCCTCTCAGAACCTCAGTATCTTCTTCTGTGACGGCAGTAACAGCAGCACCCCCAGGCTGGCTCCCCAGCATGGAGCCCCCCGACACTATGTGGTCAACAAAAGGGAGAACAGGAGGTGGGAGAACGGCGGTGACAGCACGTTGCTCACAGACGCGGGTCCGACGGCCACTATCTGGCCCCTTGCAGGCACCCTTGGGGCTGCCCGTCTGTCTGTCTGTCTGTGGCCTCTTGTCACGCGCACACTGACCTCCCTGCCTCTGGCTGGAGCCCACGGACACCCTGGCCGAGCTCTGCATGATCCGCCAGCTCCATAGCCCGGCAAACACGGGGCCTGCGGCTGAAGGAAGAATCGGGCTGAGACCACCTGGCTGCTCATGTCCACTCCCCCTCCCACCGCACCCCCTCGATGGGCACCTCCCATAATGGGGGCTGCCTGCAGCCTCTCCGGCGCCTCCCTGTGTCCCATTGCCCGGAGTGCAGAGTGAGTGGCCGGAGCTGTGGCCTGGGGTGGGCTGGGCCTTAGAAGAAGGAGGCAGAGGAAGATTTGGGAAGAAGGAGAAGGCCTTGAGAAGACAGAGGTAGAGGCTGTGGTGTGGCAGGCACAGCCCAGGAACACCTGGGGCCAGCAGGACCTGGAGGAGGCAGGACCCGGAGGAGCACGGCCATCTGGCGCCTTAGTTTCGAACTTCCAGCCTACGGCGCTGTGAGAGAAGCCTCTGTCATTCTGGGTCCCCACCCAGCTTGCAGCCTGTCCTTACTGCAGCCCCAGGAGATAGAAACACTGGGGGAAGGCATTCCAGACCCAGAACATTCCAAACCCAGAACATTCCGGACCCAGAACATTCCAAACCCAGAACATTCCGGACC